TGGTAATACTTCACTTCAGTACTGTGCCAACAGTGGATCAGTAGCAAGAACTGGGGGCAAACACCTGCAAAGAACGGACACTTTCCAATCAGGCATGCGTGGAAAGTGTCCGTTCTTTGCAGGTGCTTGCCCCCAGTAGTTCTATACATTTGACTCGAATACTATAGCTATCAATATCACTATCAGTATCACTATCATTACCTACCTTTAGCTACTCTACCACTAGCTGTAACACTTGCTCCAGTGCTCCTAGCTGAATTTATAATTTCAATCCAACCTGTATTTCCAGCTGTAGTGAAAGCTTTATTCCTAGCTGTAGCATTAGCTACTACTATACCATTAGCAGTAACACTAGCTCCAGTGCTAATCAATGTATACTAGCTATAGATAGCTGTGGCAGTAAATATCCTTATGGATAACAAGAATATTAGTAGTAGTATTAGTAATATGAAAAACAGAAGTAGTAACAGAAAAAGTAATAGTAGTACTTGTTGTAATTTCAGTACTAAATCAACTACCGCTTAACTACTACTACTTCATTTTCTCAAACCATTTCTTTTTGTCACATAGTTGTAATTCTAGCTATAGTTGCTTTATAACTATATCTACTACTAGTATCTTTAGCTTTGCTTTAGCTTTAGCTCATATAGCTAGCTTGAGTCCAAGCTGTTTTGCTAGCTGTGAAGAAAGCTGTATTGGTAGCTGTACTATCTATAGCTACTATACCACTAAAATTAACACTAGCTCCAGTGCTAATCTAGCTATAGCTATAACTACTAGCTGTAGCAGTAAATATCCTTATGGATAACAAGAATAGTAGTAGTATTAGTACTATATGAAAATCAGAAGTAGTACCAGAAATAGTAGTACTAGTACTCGTTGTAATTTCAATACTAGATCTGCTACTGCTACTGCTTAACTACAACTACTACTTCATTTTCTCAAACTATTTCTTTTTGTCACATTCTACTTGTAATTTAAGTACTAAAGTTGCTTTATAACTATATCTACTACTAGTAACTCTAGCTTTGCTTTATCTTTAGCTCATATAGTAGCTATCTATAGCTATCTACTAGTATCTCTAACTTTGCTTTAGCTTTAGCTCATATAGCTAGCTTTAGTCCAGCTGTTTTGCTAGCTGTAGTGAAAGTTATATTGGTAGCTGTAGCAGAAGCTGTAGCAGAAGCTGTAGCAGTAGGAGCTGTAGTAGAAGCTGTAGCAGAAGATATCTTTAGTCATATTAATTTTAGTAGTAGGAGTACTACCAAGATAAAAAAAATGGAATTAGTAGCAGAAAAAGTAATATTAGTATTTGACTGGTACTACTACCCGGTAGTAATGTAAATTCAGTACTACCAGAATTACTAGTACTACTTCTTAACTACTACTACTTCTGTTTCTGACACTATTTCTATTTTCCATATAGTTGAATTAATAATCATACTACTAGTACTAGTACTAGTACTATTACTACTTATACAATATAAAACAACACTACTGCTGCTTCAGTACTGTGGCAACAGTAGATCAGTAGCATGAAGTTTGGGTTACCAATAACCTTAACTCTAAGTTAACAAAATCCGCTGTAAAATGTCCTATTGAACAGCTCTACAACATGCACCGTACTCCAACCACTTAGCCGGTATCAAGCTCTGCTTGTAAGATTATCAGTAGTAGTGCTACTACTTCTAGAAGGATCTGATAACCTCTACGCACGAATTAGCACAAAATATATATATTAGGGGTGAGGTTATTGTTGAATATTGAACACTGATTCCCAATACAGTGCGTTCGACTTCCACTGCCACCGAAGCAGACCAATCATGAATGCCATCCAAAAAGTAGCTCAGTAGAACCTGGTAGACTTTCTACCAGGACATTTTGAAGTTCTAAACTTCATAACTTCAAATCGAAGTTTTCTTTGCTGGGAGCGTCTCGATTAATGTGTTTCATCGTCCGTCGTCTGTCCGTCGCTCCCAACACTCATTTAACTAACGTCTGAACTCCAGTCACACTGGCGTACGCTGTCTCGTTTGCTTTGTTTCGCTGTCCGTCGTCTGTCCGTCGCTCCCAACACTCATTTAACTAACGTCTGAACTCCAGTCACACTGGCGTACGCTGTCTCGTTTGCTTTGTTTCGCTGTCCGTCGTCTGTCCGTCGCCTCCAACGCTGTCATAAGTAACAACTGCACTATGCATTCCCCATAACAACTACAGTACTCGTACCGTGTGGATTCATGATTTTGGGAATGAAGCAATACAAGGAAAAGCACAAAGAGGGAGCGCCCGACCGTTTCTACAGCGTCCACGCAATCACATGCACCCAATGACTATGAGCGAATCATCCCCAGCAGTACTAGGAGACGCACCCATCGACGAATCACGGGAGCAACCCTCTGGAGTTCCGACAGAGGCGGTGCCACGGGAAGGAGAAGAGAACACCGCAGCCTTTTCCGAAGGCGCGAACTCTGCTTCCCTGGCGCCCGACGACGACGGGTCCGGTGGGCAGGAACACGATGTCGTAGACGACGTCGATGGCGAGGGCGAGGACGAGGACGCTAAGTCGATGGCCTCGGCATCCCACGCAATGGACGACGAGGAAATAGAAGACGAGGAAATGGAAGAAGACAGCGAGGAAACCGGGTCGGTCGCCGACAGCGGCGCCGCGGAGCCCGAGGCAGAAAACGCGAACGCCGGCGTCAACGCGAAAGCCCCAAACGAGGCACCGGCGGTTGACGCGCCGATCAAAAAGAAACGCGGGAAACCACAAATCCCGGCCTCGGCGCGGAAGGGGAGGGCCCCGGCCGTCAAGGGCCTGAACATTCCGTTTCGGACCGTCAAAAAGGCAAGAACAACAATGCACGCGCACGGAGTTTGGAATGCGGCAGTCTTCGCCGGATCTCGTCGGATCCTTTCCCGGCGTGGTTCCCGTGAAACTAGTTTCTGTTCTCTCACACGTGCACACGTCTTTTCTTGATTCGTTGGAACGAACCTCCGCGACTCATTCTACCGGTGGTCTTGTGAACACCGTGCTCGGAATTGCATCTTATTTCGTTTCATAATTTACTCCCTGGGCACGCCACTTTGCATTACTGTATGCCCTGCCACTACCAAAATAACACCATGCACCACGCCATCTATCTCCACACACGTTGTTTGTGCTGCAATGCCTTTCATACCGTGTGTACAATAGGCAATGAAGCTGGACCCCGACATCCCGATCGTACAGAACGAGGCCGCCATTATGACGACACTAGCTGCTGAGCTCTTCCTGAAACGCCTGGCCAACCAAAGCCAAAAGATATGTAAAAGCCGGGGAAAGAATACCATTCGGTAAGTTCTGCGTGGTAGCACACCACGGCGGTGCGTTTTGAATTGGCATGGCGCTTTGCCGTGATTGCGGCTTTGTGTTGTGCCTCGGGCGATCGCCAAGGCAACCAGCGCCTATTGCCAAGTTTCGTTGCGCTGGGGGTCCGGCTTTCTCCTAAAGGAAGAGACGATTGCACGGGCGAATGGATTGATTGACCGATCGCTAACATACCAACCAGCCCACAAACGAACTAACAAACCAACGTCGCCTTTTGTGCTGTTTGTGCTTGGTTTTTGTCTGGTTTCGTGGATGCTTCGGGGTACGTTGATTTTCTTTCGTTCGGTCGTCTTTTGCTTGACTCCGGTCCGCATCGCTCGCTTCCCTCGCCCAACTATCTCCCAGCTACGAAGACGTTGCGGACGCCCGTTCCAACGATCCAGCCCTGGCCTTCCTCGAGACGATCGTTCCGTGACCCGAGCAAAGCGGTTGGCTTCGGCGGCGGAACGGGATCCAACACGCTTGGTCCGGAGAAGAACTGGCACCGGGCGATTCCAACGCGAACGAACGAACGGACAAACCGAATGCCCCTTTTTCTCCGCTGGTGTGTCCGTGGCATGGCGTGCGATACAGAAGCGATGTTGTAAACTGCGCGAGACGAAGGTTGATTTTTGGAAAAAACAGTTGCTAGAACAGAAACGGATGTGTCGAAGGTGCATCACAGGTCCAACGTGGTCTCTAGTAATTTATTTCATTGGTTGTTTTCGTTGCAACCGTTGCATTCGTTCGCGAGTGGTGCTCGATCGATCGATCGATGCTTCGTACCTGTAGTTGTTTTCTAATCTAGTCAGCCGTGCATTGTGATGTGATGTGTTGTACCCTGACGCGGGAATGATCTACAGTGTCCTGAAGTTCCCGTCTTGGTTTCGCATATGCAAGTGGCTGTGCTTCTTTGTCTGGGTTACGGATGGTTTGTGTTTCTTTCGTGGAGATGCCCGGGTTCGGGATCACTGACCACGAACCAATACTTTCGGAGCAAGATCTGTATCACCCCACGATGCTGATGTATTTTCGCGTGTCCATCCGGTTTCGTGTCGTAGTTTCTTGTAGTTCAATTGTTTTTGCATCGCAAGCAGCAGCGGTCACCGCCTCGTTTCGTGTTCGCGCATTCGACACATCGCGGCATGGTTAGGTTTGTACTTCCACCTAGCACGAATTCTTTCGTTCGCGCCTTTCTTCGGTCCGGGAAAGAGGGAGGCCCCTGGTCCGGCGCACGCGGCCTTCCCTCCATCGCTTGTCCAGCACCAACGCGACCAGAACCAGGCTGATCATCCAGATGGCCCGGGGTGGTAGGGATAACAAGAAGCGCAGCCCCCGGTGTTGATCCTGCGGGTGGTGCGAAAGCGGTTTCCTCGAATCCTCGAAGACAAAGCGCTCCAGTGGTTTATGGACACCACCGGTGGGGAACGGCACGCCGGGGACGAATAAGGGTCGCGAGTGTTCCTTTCCACGGGCCATTGCTAAGTTGTTATGCGCGCCTCCGCCAACGGCATTTCTGGCGTTGGCGTTGGCGTTGGCCTTGTTTCGCAGCGATGGTTCGACCCTGGAAACGACGAATTTCGGGAGCCTCGAACGACCGTCGCCGCTGCTTTGCTGGTTCGTGTCTGATCCATGCTCATTGGTGTGCGAGATTCCACCCGCCGGCTCTCGGACCCGCAGCTGCACGAATGGAAAGGCGATTTCGTCCCGCCGATTGCTCCCGACAGTATCCGAAGACAGCAGCTGGTCCAGTTCTCGATAGTACCGCCTCGAGCTCCGCATGTTGTCGTGGATGGAAAGAAATATGAACAGCATGGTCCCAAACACCAGCGCGAACCGCAGGCTGGTCCTACCCCGGAAGCAAAAGCGCTGCAATGGTCCCGAACGAAGGGACCGAGAACGAGGCACCGAACTAGGCACAGAGAGAACCCGGGATCGGGACGGGAACTCCTCGGGGCTCGCGTTCGGAATCCCGGCGTCCAGGAGAACGTTGAATCGCCGCCGAAAACCAAAGAGTCGGTCTGTACCCGTCATGGGCTTGGAGTCAACGGGTCTCGTTATCCCTGGGGAGGAAGCGCAGTAGTCCCGGACAGACACGGGGGGGTGGTCCTGCTTGATGGACCGTTGGTCGTCTTGTTGTTCTCGTTCTGTTTCGCGTTGGCGTTGCGAGAGGTGCTCGTGCTCGTGCTCGTGCAGGACGACGTCTTCGTATTCGTGTTCGTCTTTGTGTTGGACTTCGCGTTGGACTTCGTGTTCGATTTTGCATTCGATTTCGCGCTCAACTTCGTCTTTGCGTTCGTACCCGTCGTCCTCGCGTGCGAAAAAGGGAAGCTGTGGCAGGTCGCCCCCCTCCATCTCTATCTCAGTCCTCAGACTAGAGGGAGAAATGTAGGACATACAGGTGTGGTCATCCTCTTCTTTCTCTCGAGTGAACTCCAGCGTGCTCGGTATTTCGTGGAATCGGTTGCCGGGGGAATCGCTCTCGCCTCCCAAGTTGTCGCCGCTTTCATCCGATGTCGAGCAGGTGCTCTCGTAGAAATGCAGACCACCAACGTGGGAATCCTTGTGGGGGCTCACGTGAAGACTCGCGTGGGAACTCGCGTGAGAAACCTTCGAGGAACTCCAGTGGAAACCCGAACTCGGTCCGACGTTGAGAGACTCCCCATCCACGGGGACAGGAGCTCTCGTTCTTGGGCTTTCTCCTTCAACTTTTTCTGTTTCGCTCAGATCCATTGCCGAATATTGTCCAGCGACTACTGGCTCCGAGACTGATCGCAGTGGTTCTTGATTGATGCGAATCGCTGTTGCAGCAAAGTACTTCCTGGAGACTACGATTGTCGTCGTTGTCGTCGTTCCTGCTCCGCTCTACCGTGTTGTGCGCATTCAGGTGCTGGGGTGTTCCGCCGCGCAAGTAAACGTTGAACAGCACCGAAATCAAGGGTCATAAATTTAGAGGGGTGCGCATCGATTTCGAATGCCCAACATTTTGCAATGGAGTGAGAGAAAAATCATTCTGTATTCCATCCTCGGTCCCAAAATTAAAATCAGTTTCAGGAATTTTTTACATCCTTATTTTTACTGCTACTACTACTAGCAGTACTATTAGTAGTAGGTTGTAAAGCATACCATTACTAAAAAGGTACATCAAATATCCATTTGAAACACATCAAAATTGTTTATTCAGAATCCTCATTAAAAACTGGTGTACCAGACTGTATGTTCAAAAAATATTATTACTACTATTTTTGATAAAGTTAGTATGACTACTTAGTAAAAGTTGGATAGTTTTACTGCTGGTGCTGGTCTCATGCAGTAAAAATCGTGATGAAAAAAATTCTCAAGCTTATTTTAAATTTTGGGACTGAGATTGGAATATTATTTTTCTCTTGCTTCATTGCAAAATGTTGTGCATTCAAAATCTATGCGCACCCCTCTAATTTATGCCCCCTGGCTGAAATTACTACATTAGTAAGAAAGTAGCAGTTCTTACAGAATGATATAACTGTGGAGGAGCTTGGGCAGCTCTTGTACCCAACCCCAACCCCAACCTTCACCATCCCACCAGCACCAAATGTACTGGACCAACAAATTCCACACTGCCACATCCCCTGTCGCCAACAGCCTCCTCCGTGCATTCTGGCCATGCGCCGTAGTCAAGGCTTTTCTTGTCCTTCTTGTTCTTAGCCAGAGGCATGGTTGACTTCTTGCTTCTGGTCCTCATTATCATTGACTGTTGTTGCTTTTTTAATGGTGTTTTGCTTGTTCCCCACTGCAAATAGCACTTTTTTGATATTTCTACAGTGTTTTCTATGTGTTTTTGTACTGGGATAGCAATCAAGATCAGGTTTTACTGAAACTGGTCACAATTTTGGTCAGTACTTCTACTTGTATTTTGTACTGCTAGTATTCAGTACTGAATATTGCAATACTTGTTGAGGTGAGAAATATGCACTGTGTCCTTTTTTTTGTAACTAGACCCACTTTTTTGTAACCACACTACTATGTCACACAAACTGATAATATGGTGTGAATTTTTTCCTGCTTCCATAAAATTAAATTCACACATGCATTTTGCACTGCTTGTATGCAAATATCTGGCCCTTATATTTGGAACATGTTCTCAAAACACATCTTTCTCATGAGGAGTTTGATGTTCCAATTTTATTCCAGGCAGTTTTTTCTCTCTTGTTGTCGACAAATTATCTCAATTATTTGACAAGTATCTCATGTTGTCACAAAACTCTTTATTGGATTACCTTTATTCCTGTAATTGGTTTCAAATTCTTCTCCCCCTTAGTGCTTGTTCAATCTCTGCTGAACTATCAGGGCAATGGCGCTGGGAGCTCTCAAAGGCAGCACGGCAGAGGTTGTGGAGGCTAAACATGATTGCAGGGATACCAGGGAGGTCTGGAAACGTCTCAGGGTCAGGGGATACATGTGATGCATTTGAGATAATCCAAAAATTGGATTGTGAGCAAGAGTGGATGGACTGGGAGGGAGCGAGAGTGTTTGCTGCCAGTTAGTCTTGCCAAGGCACAATCCCATTGCCTTGGTACATGTTGCAGACCCAGGTCTGGTGTCAAGGGGGTTTTTGCAAGGGTGTGGTAATGGCCATGTTGGGGGAAACAGTTTTGCAGGTTTTTGAGTTTGGTTTATTTTGTTTCATGGTGAATGGTTGCATGGGCTGGCCCTGGACATGGTGGTAGTGGAGGGGGCGCGCAATCTGGATAGCAATGCTGTGGGGAAATTGTGGGAGTTGCTTGCGGATGTACTGTAAGAAGGTGTTGCTCTTCCAACAGCCCAGTTTGCAAATGGTGTCAGTAGGAATTCTGCTGAGGTACATGGCCATGGCTCCCCCATGGCAGAGGCTGTGGGAGCCTATGAGGGCCCGTAGGAATCTGGCACAATCCAGCGCAATCAAGTCTGAGGTTGCATGCAGCAGAGCACAGATCACTGGTAAGGTCTGTGGGGTGTAGGGTAAGGAGGTGGTTCTGTGGTAAAATAGGCGCTATTGCATGTGTCTGGGGGCGCACCTACATTGAGTAGGGTTTTGATGAGTCAGATGAGGGTGTTGATGGGGCAGGGGAGAGACTGACTGGCTTTGTGATGGACAGTGGCAAGACAGGTGCAGTTCTTGAGATTCCCAAAGCACAGGGTTTTGGCAGTGCAGTTACAAAGGAGCATGGTAAGGGGCAGGATGGGGTCAAGGCATGTTTCACATAAAAAGGATTGTGTGACAGGTGGAGCTGGGGGGATGTTGGGTGTATTCACCAACAGTGGAGGAGGTAGAAGAAAGCCATGACAGCCATGTGGCTGATGGCCACCATTTTTGGGCATGGGGAGTTGGTGCCAAGGCAAAGGAGGTAGTGGGGGAGTTGGAGGGGGACTGCAAGGTTCAATTTTTATGACAGGTTGCTTTGTGCAAAGCCAGCCATAATTAGCTGTAGGGCTTTAAGGTAGAACTCTTGCAAAAGTCCCAGCAGGCTTTGTTGGCCTGCCAGTAGGAGTGTTGTGGAGATGGCACAAAGCAAAACTTGGATGGTTTGGGAGCAAACTTGGGATTGGCTACTAGTGACTTGACCAGCACACATATCTGTGACATAGGCTGCCAAGATTGAGATTTGGAGGGGTTGGGAGGTGGCAAGGGAAGTTTGTTGCCAGTCATGAGGACCACAGGTGCCAAAAGTGCCAGCATGTTTTCAAGGTTGCATCCACAACGCCAGCAGAGATGACTTCATTAGAAGCATGGAAAAGAGCTTTGAGGTTGTGGAGGCGGGAAAGAGGTACTGTGTCCAAGAGCAATGTTGTGGGGGAGGGAAAGTGGAGGAGAATGCAGAGAGGAACAAGGCAGGGTTAGTTGTGTGAGGATGCAAGGCGAAGTTGGCCATGACATTGTGGGTTCCTGCTATGTGGCGAATGTTGAGGGGGCGGTGTGGTGTGAGCAGAGGTGGACAGCAAGGGCACAGAGGACGCTCTCTGCAACGGGGGAAGCGGCCATCTGGAACTTATGGGTTCAGTGGACGGTGGCAAGGTTGTCGCACCATAAATTTTATGGTGAGGTGTCTGAATGTGTTGCTTTGTGGTGGGTAATGTATGCAGTCAAGGCCAGAATGTGTAGGACAATTTTTGGCAAGTTCAAGGTCACATATTGTGAGGCTGCCAGGTGCGTGGGCACAGAGGAGAGAGATGGTGGCCATCCAAGGAACCACATAACAGGGGCACGGGTGCTGGTGCCGCCAAACCAGATGCCCCCTGCGCCCCAGCCAGAGGCATTGACAAAACTGTGGAAGCTCAGAGGGTGGAGGACTAGTTTGTTGGCATGGGTGGGGCGGGCTGCTGTGAGTTGGATGAGGGTACACCTGTCATCAATCAGAGCCTGGAGGGCGGTGTGACGCAGATTTTGGAGGCATTTGCCTTGTGTGCTTTTGCTTTGAGTTGGTCTGCTGAGCCCATGAGAGCTTTGCTGCACAGGATAGCAGTGCTAGCAAATTGGAGTTTGCCCTGGAGTATCTCAAATGTTTTTTTGCGGATGGTGGACAAGGCACAGACTTTGTGTGAGAGGATCAAGAGGATGGTAGCTTGTTTGTTCAGATGCCTTTGAACTGCCAGCCCAATATTTCCTTAGAGGTGTCCCAGCAGCCCTCCTGGAGGAGCTTCTTGGTGGAGATGGTGGGGCCCATGGCGCTTCTTGAGACATCAGGCCCTGGGAAGGTGTTGTTGATGGCATGAAGGAGGTGTAAGGCCACTGCTTGACAGTGGTATGGGTCAGAGGTTTGGACCTTGAGGCACGTCAGTGGAGGGGTGGTGATCTTTGTGAGGGTTGGGAGAGTTGTCCAATTGAATGCCATAATGGTATCCTCCAGGGTGTGGTGGATGAGGGGGGCTCCCAAGCAGAGGGTGGTGGCGACAACATTGTAGGCTGTTTCTGTGGTGGCACAGAAGAAGGGGGGCTTTTGCTCCAGTCCATTTGAAGGGAGGCGGGGACAACAAGTTGCAGTGGGTTGGAGTGGTGTGTATTTGGGAGGACATACGCAAAGTTCCAGGTATCAGCTGCATATAGCACCATGCGCCATTAGTCATATTTGAGATCAAGTTTGGAGAACAGCAGTGGTAGTAGGCCTGGTGGGGCACAAGAAATGGTGTTGATAAGTTGCGGAACTACACAACCCAGTTCAAACATGGCGTCTTGGGGGGCAAGAGTTTTTGTTGAATGCCTCATTCACTGAGTGGACTGTGTGTGTGTGTGGGCATTTTGAGAGGAAAGGACAGATCAGGATATGTAGAGGATGGCGGCAATGGGGCTAACTTTGAGGTAGGCAGGAGGGTTTTGCTTGATGACATCCCAGTCAGCTAGAGATGTCAGGTCTACACAACGTGGGTGTGCTAGAGTGGGTGTGGTTGGTGTTTCTGGAGTTTGGGTGATGTGGTCCGTTGGGTTAGTTGGGGCCAGGTGCGGGTCAGTATTGGGTGTGGTGTGGGTTTGCATTGTGATGATGTTTGCTTTAGAGAGGAGATCAAGGACTGTAGTAGTGCTTCAGGTCGGCCAGAGGTCCTCAAAGTCTGCCACAATCTGTGCAGACAGACTGGAAGGGAGGGATAGGTCTGGGGTATTGGGGGTGAGGAGGAAGATGCTTTGCATTGGGTTGGTAGTGCTTCTTATGCACACAGCAAGGAGCCAATTTGCTGTTGCCTGGGAAGCAAGGAGGTCGTGGCAGAGTTTGTTTCAGTGGGTTGTTTGTCACCATTGATGTAGTGGGGAAAGAGGTCTGTGGGTAGTGCCTGAAGGAGGGGTATTTGGCTTGCCTTTGCACTTGAGTGTGTTTTGAGGAGGGGATTGGGTTTTGAGTGAGGGCTTGGTCCATGCTGTTGGGGCCTGTGCTTTAAGGGGGAACCTTTGGTCCTGGAGGGAGG